ATTGTTTAAGACACTGACATAAATACATACACATACAGACACACACAAATATATATACACATATATATCATATATAAATTTGTCGCCTTAAGCCACGCCTTGGAAAACGCCATTGCATCGCCGTAACTCGTAAGGCTTGAGGTTTGACCTAGACGCCATGCCATTTAGAACCTTGGTTTTATCAAACCATTCCTATTATAATTCATAACAAACCGGTCATATGCTTGGGTAAAGAATTTAGAACCAAATCGATTGTCAATTCTTGACCTAGTGCGAAGCAAGACGGGCCAGTTGGTCAACGTATACTTTCATTTTCAAAACGGGATATTGATGATAAGCCCTCAGTCAGCATATAGACATCCAATGTCCTGACTGTATCAAACTTCTCCTGCTTGTCCTGGAACTAAAACATAGATTTCAGTGAGGATGATACCAGACAGTCATGTCCTAATGATCCCACAATAACTTGGGATTCATGAAGGCAAACATCAAGCAACCTACACCAGCTAGTCATTGGCATACTTATCATAAGCAACCATGACTTCAGCTAAAACATTTCTAGCAGGAATGCTTGGAGGGCGATGGGTTCTCTAGAATATAGAACTTCTTTTCATGCATAGGACAACCCTTAGGAAGCGAAACCATTCAAGGGACTTCGTCTCGTTCAATTTTTTCTTATCAAGGATTAACCACAGTGTAAATTGGGATAAGTTGTTTGTGTTTGTGTTCGTGTTTGAGGTGGTAGCAAACATCTACAAAATTTAAGTTCAATCTTAGTAACTTTAAAATTTCAAATAAATGAATTAACCTTTCAAAAACCATTTATTTTGAGTTAATATCCATATTTCACCAATTTCCATAAATGGCCAAATGCAACTATCTGTAGAAATAGGTTATTTATGTAGGCATCATCCATTTACATTCAACGTAACTCTTAGGTGTTTATGGAATTTTATCCGATATACCATATATTGGAATTAGGACATTTAATCCAATTACAAAGCCTTGAAAATACTCATGGAGGTCAATGCAACTGTCTATGATATTTCCAAGTAATCTAACCGTACTAAGATATCATTATTTCCCTAAATTCTTGATTTAGGGTTTATTGGATCACTCGTCCATAAGTGAGTAGCCAAATGCAACTTTTCACTTTAATCTCGTTATTTTGACGCCTTGTCTCACTCCACAATCATCTGGCATGATTGGCTAGGTACTGATCATAACGAAATTCATAAGCCGTGACAAGTACCTTAAATGGACGATATATAGTTTACATCTATGAAAGGTTTGAATTTAAGAAAATATTCTATATTTTTAAAACGTGTAATTCTATCTAAAATCAAAATCTTTGGGGCTGTTTGGATCATTGGAATTTGGTGGAATTGAAACGAATTGGAATGTCCAATCCTTTGACCAAATTCCAAATAGAATGTTTAGTTCACATAATTGGTGTGAAGGAATACTTCCAATTCCAACAAATTTCTTAAGTTATTGATTTCACAATTCCACCACATATACCACGGATTTCAAATTCCAATCCGACAAATTCCTTAGCCCTCATCCATTCATCGAGGCTATATCTCGATTTGTTTTGTTCTACTATGCTCGATCTCCCTTGCTCGATCTCGTTTAAAACTAATAATGGCAACGGGCCAGGTTCGGCCCGGTTATTGGTATCCCCGTTCCCGAAACCAATAACTAAAACCGTCCCCTTGACCGCCCCGATCCCCGTTGGGGATCTTATTGGGGATCCCCATCGGGTCCCCGCGGTTCCCCCGATCCCGGTTGGGGAACCCGTTAAGGTAAAAGTTCTCTTTTTCGCGATCTGGTATGCTCGACCTCTCTCTCTCTCTCGTTCTTTCCATCCTAAAAAGGATTTTCTCGAAATGCCATCTATGTAATTTTCTCGTTGAATTCCGTAAACGAAACAAAAAAATTCCAATTCCGTTAAGAATTCCATTCCAATTCCATCTAACCAAACGCAATCAAAAGACTGGTCAAATACCATCAAATTCCATTCTATTCCCTCAAAGTCAAATTCATTTGATGAATTCTAATTTCATCGAATTTCATTCTATGAACCAAACGCCCCCTTTGTTTTTAAAAACTTATCCAAAAATCGGTTTGATTTTGATAATCATATCTATTTTGAAATATCATAATTTTATCACCGAATTAAAATTTATTTTACATATAAGTTTATTTAAAAACATTTTGCAAACATTATAACAATAGTTGTAAGAAAATAAATGAATAAAAACACAAAATAAACAACCACAACAATATAATATATGATATTGACCCTAATGTGGTGTTGTGAGAAAACACAACCACCACGATAAAAATGTCTAATGATGTCTTCAAGGTCCAACTGGCCTTTTCATCTTGGTGAACTTCATGGACTCCGTTATAACTTCTTGAAACACCGTCTTCAAATTTGGTTTACAATGTAAAAACAGAAAATGCAAACGTATCTTATTCTATTTTACAATTTTCCTATTTAGAAAATTTAAAATAAATTACAACCTTTTACAATTAATACATTTTAATTTTTCAAAACAAATAAAACAACCAAAGCATAACCACAGGTCTTTTTTGGGGGCATACCATATACTAATAAAAAATTTAAACATAAAATAAAATTAATTGGCCAAAATTAAATATCATAAATAAATTGGCCACTTAACTTGAACAAATTAATACATGGCATATGGCAAGACAAACTCAAATCGACCTGATCCCTAATTGATCGATGACCCAAAATTAAATGACAAAATGGGCTTTTGACCCAGCAAATTTAGGCATCAGCCCAACCCTTCTACTTCAACCTTGTGGTAGCCGGACCACCATGAATCGGTGGCCCACGTTTGAAAATAAAACACGACTAAAGTCATGACACATGACACTAGCCGCATGACACATGACACTAGTCTCGTTGATAGATCACCCGACTAAGAACCATGGTTCCAGCAGTGGATTAAGGTGATGATCCAAGCGACTCGAACAAAGGAATCACCTTGGCACCTGCCATGGAAGAGGATCAAGTGGGCAGTAGCCATACCCGTGGGTGACAATCGGCTACGAGTCGGTGGCCAATGCGCGACACACAGGTTAAAACATAGTGTCTAGTGTCGGCTTCAAAAAAGGAAAAATGTCTGACTCGAATCTATTCCCATATTAATTTTTTTCCTTTTTATTAAGTGCAATCAAAATGGCTATGATATTATTATAGGGGTTTAAAATAATTTGTAGCCTTTTAAACGCGGTGGAAAATCAATTTTGTAATCAAAAACGTTTTCCATTATTTAAAATCCATCGGGATCAAATGATTCATTTAATTGAATCCTGAATAAACCATATGGGTGTTTCGAGTTGTCTTTTCAGATCTAACGAGGATTCAACGGAGCACCTTAGAAACCAAAGTAGATTTTTTTTATGGCGGTCCACACATGAACTCGCTTTCTGACCTCCATCGGGTGCTAGCTCAAAGCCCCTAGATTCATATATTTTTTCTGTATTTTATCTAAAAGTTAAATCTAAAAGACTCAATCATATTTGATTTAGCCTATCACCATATTTATATAGATTGTGTTATTGTTACTCCATAACTCAAATAAAATTTTTGTAATTATTTGTAATATTTATATAATTATATTAAAATTTAATATAATAATATACAATTACAGATAACACCTTGTAGTTATCACAATTACACTTCAACACATATTTTTCATAATTATCCTCCAAAAACAATTATTTCAATACTTAACATGATTTAACTAGGGTATTGAAAATAGAGGTAAAATATATTCTTTGTGTACGATCCTATAGGTTTACATACTCCTTGACAGTATTTCCGTGTTTCGTGAACATAATAATAACTTACATTTAATTTTTTATAATTTCCATTTATTTTTAATATACCATCGGGTATTTAATTAAAAAGACACTTTGCACCCTTTTTTAGCCTAAATGGGTTCTATTTGTCCCAAATGGGTTATGTGATTTATTGGTGGGTCATCATGAGTCATAGCAGGTTGTAGTGGGCCAAATAGATCATACTGGCACTAAATGTGTTACAACCGTTCGTGATTCCCGAACTAGGAGACTAGTCAAGACTAAAAAAGATTGGTGATAAGGTGTGAAGAAGAATATGAACTTAAATGAATAAATTTAAGAACAAACTCAATAATAAGAGAGGATATATGGAAGAAGTTTTTATTTATGTCCAAGGGATGATTACAAATGAAGAGGAAACCTTTCTTATATAGGCAAGGAAAAGGTACCCTTACATGAAGCAAGCAATTATTGGTTCAAAATGAGGTAAACGCTTACATCACTTAAAAGTGACCTAAAGCTTCCATCATTTTTATATCACACTAATACTTAAAACTTAAGAAATATTTGCACACAATATTTTATAATAAAATGTCTGGAATATTTTTATTTTATTTTATTTCCAACATGAATCCAGATGAGATGGATCGTCTTCGTAGATGAAAGAGCATTTTGACCCGTACGAAGACGATCCATCTCATCCGGATTCACGTTGGAAATAAAACAAAATAAAAATATTCCAGACATCTTATTGTAAAATAATGTGTGCAAGTATTTTTTAAGTTTCAAGTATTAGTGTGATGTGAAAGTGATGGAATCTTTAGGTCACTTTTAAGTGATGTAAACGCTACCTCATTTTGAACCAATAATTGGTTGTTTTTGTCCAAAAAAAAGTCCGATCTTTATCCGGTTCAACTAAAAAATAAATGGTCAACCACAAGGGTGATATCTGATTGGTTTGAGCTTGGCTCCAAAGATCAAAAGTACCTGGAGGTCTCAGGTTCAAATTCAATAAAAATCCTCTTGTGGCCACGGAGGTTCAAATACGATGACTCCGGGCTATCTGCTTTGCAGGTGATCGCCCTGGGATTAGTCGGCTCTCATAGCGGGTTGGATATCCAGGTTAATCAAAAAATAATAATAAATAAATGGTCCTAAAAAGTCTGAATTGATGACTTTTTCTTATTCCTAATCCAGAATGCCAAAAATCCAATTATCATCACATTACAGTGATACTTATACCAAATGCAGGAAGTGTTATACATTGCATTTTTCTTAAAATCGGGTTCGATATCATCTAATTTTGATGCTCCAGATCGAACTTTGAATATGAAATACATCAAACAGCAAAGTCAAATAAAAAGACCCTTCTTAAGCAGAACAGAAAACAATCTTTACCATCTTTTCTTCGGGTTTAGTATTCTCACCTTACGAAGCTGGTGTGCTCAAACAGAGATACCGTAATTAGATATCTTTTTAACCTCTTTACTCAGAATCCGCCTTTCTCGTTTAGCTTGTGATGCAAGTTGGGACACCTACAAACCACAACAAAATTTGTCGTAAGAAGCTTTGTTATCAAGTCACAAAGTTCTCATTGACACAAAAACGCCGATCAAACCAAAGGGTCATTGGTCCAGCGGTACCCAGTTACCTATAGAGCCCAGCCTCATGATATAAAAGGTTCAGACCTCATCGAAGGTGACGGTATGCGTGAGTATTTGCCGTATATAAATAGTATATATACTCCTAAATAACATCCATCTAAATGAATACGAGTTGCAATATGTATAAAGCAAATCAAACCAAAGCCACAGGGTATGTCCCACTTCGAAAAACCTATCCTCTACCCGAAACAGTAAAAAAGATATAAAAAAAAGGAGAGCATTTGAAAAGAACCAAGACTATATAAAAACAGTAACAATGACAAACAGGAAATAGTAAAAAAAAAACGGAAACACAAGCAGAGAAAGCATAGGAACAAATTGGGACAGTATTTTGCATAATGTTGGTAAATGGTAAATACCAGTTAAAACCTGCTTCTATTCTTTGCAAATCTAATATGAACATCCAAATCAACAAGGAAAACCTTTTTCAAAATCGAACGAATGGATTTTATACAAGCAATATTAACCAGGGTTTCTATGAAGTTACAAACTTATAACAAGACCTATGCTATGAGTTACGAGAACATAAAGCAATTAACTGAATTTTTGTGTGCCCTGTTGTGTCTTAACTCGATAGCATGAAAATACAAAATAGACAACACAATATTCGAAATGGATATTAAAAAGCAAGTTTTAGTATTCTTTGGTTTACTAAAGATGTATATGTTGAGTTATGAGCTCATAACAAGCCAACCAATTAGTTTTGGTGTCCTTAAATTATTCACAAATTAATAATATGGACATCCAAACACGATTTTAAGAAATAAAATGAACATATTTTATATGAACATCAAACTATCAAATAGCCCAGCACCTCACATAAGCAACTTAGACCAAGCTTTCTTTGGATTATTAAAGACCGATATGTTTTAGTTACGAGTTCTTAACATTGTGCTTCCATGGACTGAAACCGCTCGTCAGATATAACAGATGAAGTTACTTAGTTCTTATTAAGCTCCTCCCTTCGTCACAATAAATGTCCACAATGAAAAAAGCAGAGTTTAAGAAATTTGTAATTACTACACTTTTTAATTAACTAAATGACAATTTTATCCTTAATAATAGAGGAAGTAATGAATGTACCATCTCATAATTAAGGGTAGAATTGGAAAGAAGGCACTTACTTTTGGAAGTGGACACTTATTTTGGGACGGAGGGAGTATTATTTGTCAGCGTTTCAGAGGAGAATAATGGTTTAGTCTTAGTAATCATAGTTGTGTTCAAGTCAACAGTGGTTACTATTGCCAGCAAAGAGTTTTGTAGTGCAGTTCGTGACCTTTCCACATAGCATCATGGAAAATGTCAGTCATCCATAGGGGGAGACGTAGAACTTGAAATAAATAGAAACAAGGTTTAAAGGGTGTAGTTTTAGGTACGTACTTCTGAGCGGAATGTTGATGCATCTCTATTAGGAAGCTCTTTGAGTACATCTTTCAAGCCTGGTTCGAGCAAACAGAACGGGGAAAGAGCAAGAAGCACAAAAAACAAGTAAAGGTCATCCCACTAGTAACAAAAATCAATTGTTCTCAATTTACAAAATAGCCAAAAGAAAATGGTCACTGCATACCCCCTGCTTGTCTTTCAATCTTATAAGCAGAGTCGATGACACCCTGGATTTGCTTTCCTGTTTGTCTATACATTAAAAGAATGGTCAGGATCAGGATATGGATATGGAGCATTCATGACAACAATATAACATAAAACTACTTCGATTCACAGAACACAAACCTGAGTTTTGTCCTTCCTCGTTTTAGCTCTACTTCTGCATCTAATGAGAACTTCTGAAAAAATTATTAGTTATTAGTTATGTACTCTCCAAAAGGCATCACTATTTCAATTTCATACCAGAATGTCACAGTTCAGAAAGCAATTCTTACAGCATCTAAAAACTACAAAGTCAGTTTCAGAAAGAAAAAAAAAAGCCACAAAATTAAAATATGTTCCCTGCATTATGGGCTTATCACTTATGGCATCACATATTTTTAGAACTACAAACTCTACCCTCAGCTTTCCCTCAGAAAACACCAGCACCACCAATAAGTTTCCTCACCAGTCGATTGAACTCCAACCGTTCAATTAAAGACTGAGTTGTAGCTAATGATAATTGCCTCCTGCTTTAAGACAAAATAACTACTACTATGTATATCCATAATTCAACCATGCTTCTTAAATTTCTCATCAAAAACTTTTTACTTGAGGAATGAATAGTAGCTGATAATTAATTGCCTCCCTGCTTGATGACAAAATAACTACTACTTTGTATCCATAATTCTGCCAAGGATCTTACATTTCTCATCAAATCATAAATAAAATCGAAGAAACTGTAATTAATATTAACAACCTGTTAGACCACCCTCAGGGACCACTCTGAGGTATTTACATTGTTCATATCTCTATCCCCCAGACTGCTTCCTACAGTGCACCAACAGGCTCAACACGTTGTGCTTGGGAATAGGGATTTCACAACCATAACTCATTCAGTAGAATTTCCCAAATTAGACAACCTTTGGGATGCATGAGAGAGCAAAATAGAAGTTAGCAACCACAAGGGTGGTGCCTGATTGGTTTGAGCTTGGCTCCAAAGATCAAAAGTACTAGGAGGTCCCAGGTTCAAATCCATAGAGGAATAAAAATCCCCTTGTGGCCACAGAGGTTCAAATACGGTGACTCCGGGCTATCTGCAAAGCAGGTGGTCGCCCTGAGATTAGTCGGCTCGCATAGCGGGTTGGATATCCAAGTTAATCAAAAAAAAAAAAAAATAGAAGTTAGCACCAAAGCTTATGACATTCTTTATGATGTCCTCTTCATCCAGTTATTTATGGTTGCTTTGTATCAGCACAAGCATGCAATACCTTTCAAGCTCTTGCTGTGTCTATGATAAACTCAAGGACTGCAATATGATGCTCCATGGAATTATAAGCTATCCCAAAGCAACAGAAACAGACGCACAAATTGAGTGATTAAGAAAGAACCGTTGCATCAGATTTTAGCTCTAGTATAAAGAAATTATGTTCTCTAGTGACTTGACAAAACTTGCTTAAAAAGAATAAGGTATAGAAAATGATAATTCATTGACAACCGAAAAACCAATTGGAATCTTTTGACATTAACCCCTACTTTGTATTTTATCAAGAGGGCTGCCTTGTCAACAAGAGTTCCTTTCAGCTAAGGTGGAATACACCTTGTGCCGATGATAGCGAAAGTTAAACCCCTTCTAAATTTTGAAGAAAAAAAGAGCCAAAGGATAAAAGAACCATAATATTGCAGGAAACACTTGCACAATGCAGAACATGACAGCTAAGAATATGAGTTCCAAGACGGCATGGAAGTTGTTGGCCTACTGAAGTTCGGTGAAGAATGGGAGTGTAACAAGGTCAATATTCAAGATTATCAATTGCCTTGTCCAAATATAGAAGAGGAATAAAAGATGGGGCTCACACGTTGAATTTTGGCATATTCTCTACGTGCCTACTCTATTTGCTAGTCATAAATCATTTGACCTGCTTATGGTAAAGGACTGATGTGAAAGATCTGATGATTTTAATGTGAACTATTTAAATAATAAATTTCATATCCCATACAAATAAACCACTGATGATTTTACAAGATGATACCTATCAGCCAAGTTTTATAGCTTGCTACTGTTAGTCTTCTAAATTGCCTCAGAGCTTGGGATTTATTATAGAAAATCTCCAATTGTGAAGATTGATGATCTTCTAGGTAGCAGTGATTAATTGGGGACTAAACAAGCTTCTTACCAACTTCATATCAAGTCAGTTGGGCACAGATCCGAAAAGAAGAGTATTGAAACCAGACACGTGAAGGTAGGCATGGATAGGGACCTACGATGGAATGCCACAATATAGAGTTCGAAACAGATAACTGATAAGCATGTAATGAGCTCCCAACCTCTTTTATGTATGATTTGTCATCGCAAGATCCGGTAACAAGTGTTAAATATAGTGAGACAATTTCATTAAAATGATTTGTCATCCCAAGATCCGGTAACAAGTGTTAAATATAGTGAGACAATTTCATTAAAAAGTCAACTTCAGGATAAACTTTCATTTAGCAAGATGCCACAAAGCAATTACTCTTCAACGATATTAGAGAAGTTAAAACTTTGTGAAATGGTCATTGATATATATGGTTAGAGACTTAGGGAGCGTTTGGTTCGTAGAATGGAATTCAATGGAATTGGAATTCATCAAATGAATTTGACTTTGAGGGAATGGAATTTGATGGAATTTGACCATGTCTTTTAATTGCGTTTGATTGGATGGAATTGGAATGGAATTCTTAATCGAATTGGAATTTTTTTGTTTCGTTCACGGAATTCAACGAGAAATTTACAGGCAAAAAAAACTGAAACCGAAACTTTCGGGCTGGGTTCGGGGACATCTTATCGGGGACGGGGCGGGGATCGGGGACAAATTCGGGGATTTTAACGGGGACGGGGGCGGGACGGTGATCATCGACCCGGCCCGGCATGATATGTGTATATATATTAATTTTAATTTATATATACATATATATATATATATATAATATTAAATTCGGGGATTTTAACGGATATTTTAACGGGGATTTTTTGATCTGTTTCAGGTTTCGGTTTTGGGTTCGGTTATAACCAACGGTGAACGGGAAAAAGAGGATTTTTACCTTCACGAATTCCCCAACAGGAATCGGGGAAACCGCGGGACCCGATAAGATCCCGTCGGGGATCAGGACGGTCATGGGGATGGTTTTAGTTATCGGTTTATGGGACGGGGATACCAATAACCGGCCCAAACCTGGCCCGTTGTCATTCTTAGTTTTAAACGAGATCGAGCAAAGGAGATCGAGCATAGCAGAACAGAGCAAATCGAGATACAGTGTCGATGAATGGATGAGGGCTAAGGAATTTGTCGGATTGGAATTTGAAATCCGTGGTATATGCGGTGGAATTGTGAAATCAATGAATTAAGAAATTGGATGGAATTGGTTGGAATTGGAAGGATTCCTTCACATCTATTATGTGAACCAAACATGGGATTTGGAATTTGGTCAAAGATTTGGACATTCCAATTCCTTTCAATTCCACCAAATTCCATGAACCAAACACCCCCTTAGAGTTGAGGCGAAAAACTGGACAGTCGGTGCAAGCTTGGAGAGGAAAAAGCCAACTTGATCTATCATGTTCTAGTTTCCCATGCATATGGAAGTAAATCATGGGCATATAGAAGATCTAATAAGCACGAGCTAAATTATAAAGCCCATGGTGATGCATCATCAAAATTTGCAGACTTACCTCCAACAATGGTTTCATCAAGATAATCCATTAAGAATTAGTCAAATTGCCTGATGGCAGGACAACTAGATTCAGTCTCCATGATATTCAAAAATAAAGGACAGCTCAAAGTCAAGGACAAGCATTATATCTGAGCTTTGGAGGTGATAGGACAATATCAGAGTGCAAGGAAATATAAATCGATTGCTATCTATGATTCTTACTGTGAAACATCTTCAGATAATCAAGAACATACATCCTTAGAGAAACTGATATCCTGTCGAATATGTCATGTTGCAGGGGAAGCCATTCGTGAAAGTTCAGCAGACAACTAATGAGAAAGAAAGAAGATCAATGCCCTTTGACATTTGATGTGTAAGCAACATGGGGTGCAATCATTATTTCTCCATACATGTAGATGTAGTGGCTAGAGATTTATGAACTAAAATTCTCCCTTGGTGGCATTCACGTGGGTAATCCCAATGCATGTATCATAGTTGGAAAAAGTTTAAAGTATGTATGGAAGGAGAGAAAGACCGACCAACAAAAGATCGCACCTTCAATTAGTTTCAGATCGACTGGAAGGAGAAATAGGGAAGTTTGAATAAGTGTAACCAAGTATGTAACATTCCAAACCACTTGTGGATGAGACGAAATAAGCTTTGATGTTGGGAGTTACGGAGTATTTCATGCATATACTTCTGGCATGTTGCAGTGTGTGCCAGCCTGACAGGTATACTCAACACATACATGAGGTATACCCTTCTGTGTCGACACAGAATAAAACATTTAACTTGTTTTCTGAAAGGCACGCATAGCCACCAGGGAAAAAAACTATTAAAATTAGTTATTTTTGTAAAATTATCACACATGTGAAACAGGTTCTTAACTTTTAACAAAACCAATGGGCACTGAAAAAAAGTACCTCCAACTTCTTGCTTTCTTCTGTTAAGGTTCTCACTGAGTCTCGTAATTTCTGAACCTTAGCATTAGCTTTAGCAAGCATGGCCTGGCAAGCAGTAGAAAGTGATAAATGAGTCGCATAACTGAAGAACACTTGATTAACATCATAAGCCAGAAGGGTATAACTATATTAAGCTTGGAATGCATATATAAAGTTGTGAATAAATGTGCCTAGGATGTACTCTTCACATAAATTTTGCTCTCCAGTTTGTGATAACTAGTCTCAACACAGCTTACGTTTAGTTGCCTTGGAGACATTGTCCGTATGGCACATACTGTGCACATGGCCCTATATCATATTAGATCTTTGGAAATCCAACTCAAAACCAATTACATGTGAATAGAAGTAGCCCAAGATCAGGCATGCTTGTTACATAAATAGTACTTTCTGATGTGGGATCCTAGTTTCAACATCATAAATGCACATAAACAATTTGTAGCCAACATATACAAAAATATAACCGATACAAAGAGAGCATAAACAAGGATGATAGTTGGAATAATAAATGCATGATGTGCCACAAAACCTCCTAAAGGCACATTTTCTGCATGTAAGTGATCATCAAAGAAACCCATTGATACGCACAATGTGCATTTAATATCTAGTACCGACATTAGCTTAAAGCTAAAAAGCATCAAGGAAGACCTTATAAATGAATGGGTGGCCATCTGTTAGTTCTCCATTCAACTACCAGCAGTCCAATATCTACTTAACTGCTTCAATAATGTGCATAAGATGCAAGTTATATAGCAAGCATAACAACCATCATATCTTAAAAAAATTGTCACAAATCACAACAAACCAATGGTCGGTCACTTATTTACTTCTCTACTCTGCTGCATGTGAATGGAATAAGAATAAAGACAAACTATGTTAAAAGGTCATTTCTGAATGTAATGTATCAAACCATCAATGAACATACAAGTTATAGCCAATTCAGAATCCGCTACACATGAAAATGATATGGAAATGCAACTATTTAGCCTTCAAATGTGTATAAAATATCCAGAATCTCTGCTAATTGATTATGACAGCTAGACTCTGCCTCTGCAAGTGAAATCACGGGGAGAGGGATCTATATTAAAAAAAATTAACATCTCGTTTTACCTCTTCATTGGAAAAAAGACGCAGGGTGTTGTAGTATAAAGACCGCCTTGTCCCTGCAGCAATTAATAAGTTATCAAGGCATTAGCTGTTAACAGAATATTCTGTGAAACTTTTGTACTTTCTTAAAACTTGAGTGAACAAACTAATACTTCATTTCGGCTTCACTTCCAAAGCGTTTCTTTCCAGTTAGTTAGTATGAATTAGGAATACTATACATACCAAATTTCAAGTAGAAATTAGGAAATTAATAAAGCAAAGGCTATTATATTTTAGCAGTACATTTCTAAGCTTAAGCTTAAAACAATTAGCATGGTTTAAGAGCCTCACTTTTTACAGCCAGAATCCCAGAGCCAACAACCAGTCCACTTGTAGCAAACGGATGTGAAGCAGCAAAGTAAACACCCTCTGTTAACCAGCATTCATGACAACCTATTGTAAGCCAAACACGCAGGGATAGAATGAAAAAGATGTTGACATTGACAATAGTGAAAAAAAATTCCACAAACCTTTGATCTTTCCAAACACAATATCCTCATAAACATTATAATCAGATTTGAGATCTTGCAGGGATTCCTATAAGATGAGAAAGAGTTCCAAAATTGTCATTCCATCTCTTAATGGGAGAACAGATACAAGTCAGATTAGCCTTCATAATGTTGAGGGTGGGCTAGCTGAGGTAATGTCACTGTCCTTTTCTGTTGTGTTTTAAAACCAACAAAACCTTATCACTCCCAATTATTGCAGACATCGCATTCCTGTTGTGTGGGGCAAGCATGACGCCAACCTCAAATAAGCTATGGCAAGGTAGCACATGGCATGGTTGATGGCTTTCTCATAACAAAAAAAAAATCATAAATATAAATGAATATTGGAAGTGAATCACATTTCTGTTAATCACATTCATTAATACATCTAGTGGAGAGAACAAATTATATGGTAATTAGTTACTACAACATAAAAAAAGAAAGATAATTTCTTTCAGCAAAATATGAATTGTGTAATTAGTCACTTTTAATTTTGTTTTTTCATATTAATTAGAAGAGACAATGCTTTCATTAAAATGTCATAATGATCTAATAATAATGTTTAATTCAATTAACTAAAAATTTATACACTGCAGAAACAAATCAAAACACGTAAAGAAAAAATGATCAATCAGATTAGAAAGAAAAGATAGAAGACATGAATCTGGAGGAAAAAGAAGCATAGAGAAGATAAAAGAACACGTCCATAAAAGACAGGAGAAGCAGATCCCGGTTCTATTTAAAAGTCCATAGCTAGCTGCTTAACTGTTGAGTCTAAAGGCGTCAAGTTTAGTTGGGTTTTTATATAATTATATTATTTTAATAAAAATCCCAAAAGCTTCCAAGAAGAACAAAAAATAAGAAATAACAGAGAATCCTATGAAAACAAACCACATTTGTTTATTGGCAGGCCAAAAGGATTGAAATTTCACACATTGTGCCACAGCACACTTGATGCATACTGATAGGGCAGACACCTTGTTCCCCTTGCACATCATTACCTATTGCAAGACAAGATGCACGCCAGAGAATGGCCTTACCATGCACCATGAAAGAAATTTACATAGCTTGCCATTTCTCAACCCCTTCAACACCGACATTACAAACGACGGCAGTGTTGCATTCTTCACAACCGCACTCTTACTAGTCCATATTTTATAGTGCCAACTCATTTGAAGCGACTTTTACCATGTCACATCATGATGAGCATCCTTTCTCCATCACTTGAGGGACGCCATTTCTAATTAGAACCTTTCTGGCTTCACAATGTCCATTTTAACTGCCTCATCTCTTCTACTCTTATTTCTGCATGGGTTTATGTTTATATGTCCAATATTGTACAACATTTATCTGGTTTGGCAGCTTTCATGTGTAGTTTCCTTCTAACTCCTTTATTCTTTGGATGCATCCACTTCAGGATGAGATCCGCCCCTCCACTTTTAAAGACAATTATTTCCAAGTTCCAACATATCCTACCTCTCCTGGTTAGTCAAAACCATTGAACCCAGATATACAAATGAACAGACTCTTGAGATTTCTCTTGACAGACAAGCTTTATTTTTCATTCATTGGTGTATGGGTGTTCTTTTTAAGCTGATATGAAATGATAAATAATAAAGAGCTAATGAATTAGGTGTCAGCTTCCCTGCTTGATTGGAATGGCACTGGGTGATGTGGAACGAAATCTCCAATGTGTCCAGAGGTTGTAATCCAAGTGAACTCCAAATTTAAGATTTCAATATTCAAATTGCAGATCTAAAAGACAGAAAAAAATTCATTGCTTCCAATGCAGACGTGCCTCCCTCATTTGTCAACCAATGTGCCCATACTCATATATTCCCTTCTAAATAGAACTACACCTTAATTTCCAGTGTTCAACAAACACAAACTTGATTTATAGTTTGTTGCAAGTTTACCAATAAAGTTATTCTATAGTTAGCATGTGTTATAAGCATCAATGTGGTGAGCAATATTTTCTTAACAGGTTTAGAAACCACGTATAATGTTGCATCTCAGAAGTAAGTAGTAACATGTCGGGTGTCAACAGTCCAAGCCTACCCTTCTGAATATTCACATTTAAGCCTAGTTATTTTCACATATAAAGTTTATATAGATTATTTTAGTTATTGAAATCCAATATTTCATATTGCAACATTTTTCATACTGAAGGTAGTTATCAAATTTTAATCAAAATCGGTTCTAATCAACGTTCAAGCAAAAGCAATTATCTCCTCCCCAAAATTCAAATGCTAACCTTTCTTTAGTTGTAACCACGGTAATATTTCTTTTCTTCAATTTTCCCAACGTATAAGCAATCAGTAGAAGCAAAATGCACATTAATTTTAATCAATTAAAAGAAACTTACCATTGTCATATGAAGATGAGCGGTAGAAGTTGATTTAATTTGGTCGAGGCGGGATTTGGTGACAGACAATGTGGATTCTAGGGTTTCCACCAAGGTTTTTTGTGCCATCACTGCCTGTTGAACAGCATAATCAACCCATTCTACGGCAGAATCACCGGCAAATGGTCTGACTTTCTCCAGTACGCCAAAATCAACTACCGGCGACGACGACGACGGTGGTGATGTATTCGATTTATTTTCCGATGATTCGTCCATATTTCGCCGGCGATGCAACTTGCGAACACGGAACAATGAGACATGGGTTCGAAGTATTTGGAATCGTCTTGAACAAATTTACATTTTGCACCCTTCATGTTTTGAAGAATATTAATTTTTGTCCCCAGTAATATGAGAGTCGTAAGGGTCAAATGACCACTATCTATGCTATATTATAAAACATTTTATAAAAGTTCTTAAAAACTATTTTTATCTATAAAATACTGTTTATTGATGTATATTACTTAAAATTCAAAATTACAAGTAAATTGTACGTAAGTACAACTTATTAGAGCTTTATTTTTTTAATTTGGATGACTAACTATAGATAAACATCATCAAATACGGGATATACATCTCATTTTGAATATAAAAAATTTAAAATATAATTAAAATAATCATTAGTTATAACAAAATACTTAGAAGAAGTATTAAACCTAATAGTGAATAGTTTATTCGATTGTTATGGCAAAAACAATTATCCATGAACACTTCGCTTATTCTTCCAACCTTCTCTCACACCCAAGTTGGTGTTTAGCCTGACATTAGTGAAGCATAAATGAGGACTTGAAAGTAATAACATAAAAGTAATTGTGCAGAAAAGTAAGATGAAAGTTGTACAGGTTGTTGTAGCAATAAAACAATAATTAAAGATTTCAATACTTGAATTAAAGAGAAAGCATAAAGTAATTAAACTTGAGAGCTTGTAAGAGGCTTCATGCTAGACTAGAATCAACATGCTCCTTATTAGGGGTGTTCGTGGGTTGGGTTGATCGGGTTGAAGATATTTTAACAACTCAACCTAATGTTTGCGGTTTGAAAAATTTTAACCCAATCCAACCCGAACCAAAGTGCAACCCAACCCAACTCGTACGAGTTGGTCGGGTTAGTCGGATTGGTCGGGTTGATACTTTGGTACAATTAAATATTCTTCTAACCTAGAATACGTTATTTCTCTACTCATAGTTTCTTTTTCATCATCAATCATTTGATACAACTTATCCATACTTTTTACGTATATTACATTCAGTTAATTTTCTCAATTACATATATATGTTTACAGTTACTGAACATATATACAAATGAGTTATATAAAGATGTGAACATATTGAAAATATGTGCATATGAATAACATACATAGGGATGGCAACGGGGGCATCGGAGATTAAACTTCCCATCCCCGTCCCCGTCCCCGCTGGGGAATGTGATTACATCCCCATCCCCACGGAGAATCGGGGATTTTTCCCCGAACGTGAAATTGCATTTTTTGCTTGAATAAAGAGCATTATATTTATTGATTTGTAAATGTTTAAAGCTAGAAATTTCAATAAAACCAAGTTGAATTATCACGACAAGTTATCAACCATAAAGTTTAGCCCACTAATAAAAACCAACTTACTATCTTATCAACAGTAATGTTAGCCAAATACATCATAAAAAGTTCCAACAATTCAACTTAACAAAGTATCTCAATCAAAATAAAATATCAACTTGTAATAACATTCCAGTAAGTTTTTCTAATCTTCAAATCTTCTTCACTTGAAATCTTCAATCTTCACTACTTTAATTCTTCAACTCTTCACTAACAAACCAATAACCATTCAAACATCCAATAAGAACACTTAACATATCATTCGTAAGTATAATTGACATATGAATCAAATTCTATAACAAAAACTAATAACAGAATGTAGTTGTATGACTACCTTCAACATCAACATCATAATCATCAAAAATGGTTGCATGGTTATCCGAAGTAAACGTTGCACCTTCATCTTTAACAAAGAGTAATAATGTTAAAAAAAACATATATATTTTATTAAACAATTTAATCAATATTCAAGACTTTTTAATATATAAAGTTACCTTTGTTAACGATTTCCCACAACCAACTTTGCGCACACATTAATGCTTTTATTGTATTTGGATGAAGTCTGCTCCTATGTGGACTAATCAATCTTCCGCTAGCACTGAATGCAGATTCTGATGCAACAGTAGAGATTGGGGTTCAATTCCTTCATCCAAATAACGATCAAATTATGTTTTCACAACAAATTGTGTAGTGATGAGAAACATTAATCATAAGGATCAAATTTCATCCAATTCAATATCAATTTCACACAAGATTTAAAAGAACACATCAAAACTTACTTGGTGTGAATCCCGTATTTGAAGGAGTAGAAGAAGATGATGTCATTTGATGTTGTTGATTCTTTAAGGATATACAGAATTAGGATGGAGTGATCAAGGAATCCATTAGTGATGTTGATTTTCCATGCTCTCTGTAAGCGGCATAAAGAGAGAGCGTAGAATGTAGATGAGCGATTGATTCTAACCGTATATCACAAAGAAACCGTTCAGCCTCTTATGTAATTGTTATGTTACCCACATCCATCATATGTTAACATTACATAAGTATAGGGACTAAATATGTCATAATGGCAATCACAGATATATTGAATTATAAATATATCCTTAATTTCATAAAACTTTACATAAATGGTCCAAGAACACCAAATAGAAATTATATTCCAACATTCTCCCACTTGTCCTTGAGATCATTTATATAAGTTTAACTAGTGATTTGGCCAAACAATTACATCTTACTCCATAATAATATCAAAGTAAAGAGATACAGTCATATGAGTTGCTTTTGACCTGAGACCCCTATCAATTATACTTTGATACTTCTTAAAGAATATAAGGATTTTAATAAGCTAAAATGACACTTAGCATAAAGTTTCATGTTTGTCTATAAGATAAGTTAGTGTGCACAAATAAGGTTAGACAAACAAACTTAGGGAGGAACAATAAGTCAAGTACTTGAATTTACAAAATAGTAATAATAAGTAAGTAAAGCACTATGCAAGAAATAAGTTAAACTGAGTCTTGAATTAATCCCATGTTAGTGACATGTCGCTGAAAAACATTGGGCGGAAGACCTTTGGTGAGATGATCAGCTAGCATATCATTGGTGCTAATGTGTTCGATACAAATTTCGTTTTCCTCCACTCTTTCTCGAACGAACAAATATTTTGTATCGAGATACAATCCCGCTCCACTCGAACTGTTGTTATTTGAGAAACTAACAGCCGCGGAATTGTCACAATAAATCTTTAGTGGCCTTGAGATGGAATTTACGATCTTCAGCCCTTTGATAAGATTCCTCAACAACATCCCATGACACGCGGCGTTGTACACCGCAACATATTCAGCCATCATTGTTGAGGTAGTTGTTAGTCTTTGTTTATGGCTCTTCCAAGAGATTGGCCCACCTGATAGCATAAAAATGTATCCTGAAGTTGATTTCTTATCATCTTTGCACTTGGCAAAATGGGAATCGGAATAACCAACTACCTCCAAATTATTAGACCTCTTATAAGTAAGTTTGTACTCCTTAGTCCCTTGAAGGTATCGTAAAACTTTCTTAGCGGCTTTCCAATGATCTAGGTCGGGATTAGATTGATACCTACCTAGCATACCAGATATATATGTGATGTCGGACGAGTGCAAACTTGAGCATACATTAGGCTTCCAACCACAGAAGCATAAGGAATAATTCTCATTTGTTCCTTTTCAACCTCAGTTTTCGGGCATTGAAAAGACCCGAAAACGTCTCCCTTAACGACTGGAGCAACTGAAGGGGAGCAGTGTTGCATGTTGAACCGATTTAGAATGCGCTCAATGTATGCCTTCTGAGACAATCCTAATGTCCCTTTGACTCGATCTCGGTGAATTTCAATGCCTATAACATAAGAGGCTTCACTTAGATCTTTCATGTCAAAGTGGCAGAAAAGTAAGCGTTTCAATTCATGCAATAAGTCTAAGTTACTACTTGCTAATAGGATGTCATCGACATACAAAACAAGTATAATAAATTTGCTCCCACTCACTTTGAGGTATATACATTGGTCTACTTGATTCTTGTTGAAGCCATTCGACTTCATCAAATTTAAGGTACCATTGTCGAGAGGCTTGTTTGAGCCCATATATAGAGTTCTTGATTTTACATACTAAATGCTCTTGGCCCTTAGAACCAAAACCTTCTGGTTGAGTCATATAAACATCTTCATGTAAATCTCCATTTAGGAAGGCTGTTTTGACGTCCATTTGATGTAGCTCAAGATCAAAGTGAGCTACTAAGGCCATAACGATCCGAAGGGAATCCTTTCGAGAAACTGGCGAAAAAGTTTCTTGATAGTCTATACCCTCCTTTTGAGCATACCCCTTAGCGACCAGTCTCGCTTTGTATCTTTCAATGTTTCCCTTCGGGTCTAATTTAGTTTTATAGACCCACTTGCAACCAATAGGYTTGTGCCYCTTTGGTAATTCTGCAAGTTCCCAAACATTGTTCTTCCTCATGGAATCAAGCTCTTCATTCATAGCTTCATTCCAATGAGCCGACTTATCACAACTTATGACATCTTGGAAGGATATAGGATCATTACTTTTCCCTAAGTCAAGATCCGCCTCTTCGTTCAAATAGGTTATATAATCGTCAAAATTAGTGGGGCGCCTAGACCTTTGAGATCTTCTTATAGGCTGTTGGATTTCTTGAGGCTCATTACTTACTTGTTGGAGTGGTTCATTATTAGATGGTGTTTCGTTCGTCTCTTGAACTATTGTATCGTTATTATGAGACGGTGGAGTTTCATTAGGATTTTCAAGTAAAGGATTAGGTGGAGTTGGCAAAGGAATTACTGATGCCTGTTCACAACCCTCTTGAAGATCATTGCCACTAAAAGGACCACTACTACTCCCACTTATGTTTGTATTCTCAAGAAATTCAGCATGTCTAGTCTCGACAATTCTGGTAGTGTGAGATGGGCAATAAAACTGGTATCTCTTTGATCTTTCAGGATATCCGATAAAAAAACAACTGACGGTTCTCATATCAAGCTTCTTAAGCTGAGGATTATAGACTATTGCCTCAGCAGGACAACCCCACACCTTTAAATATCGTAAGCTGGGCTTCCTTCCTGTCCAAAGTTCAAAAAGAGTTTTTGGCACAGATTTAGAAGGT